GATCCTCGCTTCGCAGCCATGACATGCCCAAGATCATGTCGAATTTGGTGTCCAGAATGTCAAAGGACACCGCCTCACTTGCGTGAGGGGCAAAGTACATTGGGACGTCATCAATGCACCGGTCGGTTGACTTGTGCGTGTGACCGTCCGCCAACGTGACTTGCGTAGGCTGGGACTTCCTTCGGACTCGTGGGCCAAGGTCGGCGTGTACCATGAAGTCATGACTCGTGTAGTTGCGAGATGTTCCGCACTCGATCAAAGCGCTGCAGGTTGCCTCTCTGATCTGAATGCGTACATAAAGCAATGGTGCGTCGATGTCGTCGTACTGTTGCGTTTTGAATTCGCGGTCGATCTTCGCAATGTAGGCGTAAAGGTCGACAACCTCTACTCCGGCGTCCATCAACGGAGTCGGTACTGCAGTGTGCAAGTAATCCCGAAATTGTGCCTTGAGCACGTTGCAATGCGGTTTCGGTAATCGACCGGACTGGGGAAGGGGCATCCATTGGAAGTCCGCAAATGTCAATGGGTCGAGCTCTTCAAGACTTGACCATGACGTCGAATCCCCGGCGGTAGACGGCGGCGAAGCTGCCGAATCGGTTGCCGATGGTGATGAAACCGTGCATGCGGTAGATTGTTGCACGTGGAGCGGTTGGTCCAGCGGTGGGACCAAGTGGACAGCATAGTCCTCGTATATACCGAGAACTTACGACATTCGCATCCTCCCCGGATGTGTAGGAGGCCGCTAGCAAGGCGGCCGAATCTGGCAGAGTGGGAGGTGGAGTCGGCTCACCTCCCGCGAAACTCAGTTTCCCGAGTTAAGACGAGGCCGCACATCCTCCTTGGCCTGATCCTGGCAAAGGGAGGTCTTGTGCTTGGTGCTGTTGCACCAGTAACAGGAGCCGTAACGGTTGCGGTACTTGTACTCGGCCTCGGTCAAGTTGAACTTGACCCATGGTGGTGCTGGCTGTCCGTTTCCGGCCTTCGATGCTGGTTTCGCCTTCCCGTTCACTCGGGGTTTGTTGTTGCTTCGCGGCTGGACAGCAGCCACCTGATCTCCCTCACGTGACGCTTGGGTGGCTGTCGGGTCTTCCACAGTGTTGTCCGATTGGACTGCAGCGAACTGCTGCTGTCGCGGACTTGTTCTCACCTTCTCCACATAGGTTGGCTGCCACGTTGACTTCTCATGTGCAGCCGCCCTGTTGGTCTTGATGATCTCCCTCGCCTTGTCAATGATCTCAGCGAAGGTTGCATACTGCTCGCGATCACCAAGTGCCTGGCTCAATGCAGCGCATGACCTGTTGTAAAACTCACGGCGCAGATGCGGAAATGGTAAGTCAAGATCGGGCATTGTCGCGATCTTATGCCATTCTGTGAGCCAGTGCCGTGTTGTTGTGTTGCCTTGAGTTATGGTGAAGAGACGGTTGATGGCAAGTGCTGGTGCGTCGTCGACGATGAACCGCTTCTTCCACAGGCGTGTTAATTCTTCCCATGAGATCTTGTCCTTCAGATCTGCGACGTCGACGCCGTGGGTGGCTGCCAGGTGGGTTAACCAGATATGGCATCCGCCCTTTGAGTTCATGAACAGGGCGCCGATGTACGCGTGCTTGGCGACAGGCAGAATCCGAAGTTGCGTCGTGAAAGCTTCCCACCAGAGCACCGGGTCCTGATGCGTGTAGTCGTCGAACTTCTCAAGTTGAAAAGTTGGCATCTTGTATTGCTTTGGATTGTTGCCATCCGTGTTCATCGACTGCAGTTGCTGGACCTCGGTCTTCAAAGTATCCAGCTGATTGTTGATGGTGGTCGGCGCAGCGAAAGTGCTGATGTCGCCGAGCATTGCGACGACGTGGTCGACGCGTTGCTCCAGTTGGTGGTTAGAGGGTGCACTGCTGGACTCACCAGCATCTGGTCCTGGTACAGCTTGCTCCAGGTCCAGTACACGGGAATTGAGTGCCCGTGTAGCATCCTCGTGGCTCTGCACCATCCGGCGGAGGTTTGCCAACTCCTGGTGCTGCGTCTTCAGATTCTGGTACTGTTGCTGCAGTTCCTGGTTCTGTCTCTCTAACTCGGAATGTTGGTAGTTGCAAGCGTACAACAACCGTGTCACGAGTTTGGAGAGGAACTCCTTATGCTGCTCTTCCGGTGCCGCGTCGTCGCCGTTGGGTTCAAAGTGCCAGAACTTGAGTCTTTCGATGCTGGCAGCTTCATGCCGGTGCAGCAGAACCTAGGCCTCCTCGCGGCATGCCTGGGTATCTGTGTCTGCTTCGGCCTGTAACCGCTGCTTCTCAGCTGTTGCCGCTGCTTCAGCCTGTAGGCAGGCAGCCTCCGCTGCCAGCTGGCGCTGTTCCTCAGCCTCGATCAGAGCGAGTTGAGCCTGGAACCGCTGTTTGTAGTCGGCAAGAGACTCGTTGGCCAGTTAGCCTGGCATGCCCAGAGCTGCACCCGTCATGGTGGCGGGGCAAGCTGACGTGGCATTGTGACGTGGCACTGTTGCTTATGTGGCACTGCTGACGTGGCACTGTGTGACGTGGCACTGTGTGATGTGGCACTGCTTGGCAATGCTGACGTGGCACTGTTGACGTGGCACTGTTGACGTGGCACTGTTGACGTGGCACTGTTGACGTGGCACTGCTGACGTGGCACTGTTGACGTGGCACTGCTGACGTGGCACTGTTGACGTGGCACTGTTGACGTGGCACTGCTGACGTGGCACTGTTGACGTGGCACTGCTGACGCGGCACTGCTGACGTGGCACTGCTGACATGGCACTGCTGACGTGGCGCTGTTGCTGACGTGGCACTGCTGACGTGGCACTGCTGACGTGGCACTGTGCCTGACGTGGCACTGTTGCTGACGTGGCACTGCTGACGTGGCACTGTGGATGACGTGGCACTGCTGACGTGGCACTGTACCAACTCGGAAATGCATGCAAAGGGGTGGGCGGGAGGGAAAACGTAGGTAGGCAACCAACAACCAACCCAACAATACTTTCCTCTGGCCCTAATCAACAGATAAAAAATAAAAAAAATAAAAGAGGACTACTTCCTTTTTTTTTCTTTTTTTTTTGTACATCTGTCGATCTATTTTGAGTGAGACATGTCAGAAGAGTACTATGAACGAGATCTAGGCTAGGTTCCACAAAGTTTGGGCTTTCACAAAATGCGATCTTGAAAAAAAAAATTTTTTTTGCGAAATGGAGTAAAGATGCGATTTTCAGAAAAGTACGGAATCCAGTTTCTGAGATTATGGCAATCTCCAAATATGCCTAACGAAATGTTGGTAGGCTTCGCTAGATTTCGGTTTTCAAAAAAAAATTGCGAGATAGAATGGAAATTCGATTTTCAAAAAAGAATAATTCCAGTTTTCGAGAATATGACCACTTCTATTGTTATCCCAACAAGTGAACCCCACCACGGCTACGCCGTGGCGCACAGCAACAGTCGCTGATGGCGTCTTATGACGTCTGCTCTGTCTGTCTCTCTCTCTCTCTCTCTCTCTCTCTCTCTCTCTCTCTCTCTCTCTCTCTCTCTCTCTCTCTCTCTCTCTCTCTCTGTGTTTCCTCCCGCGTTGTCCTGCACTCATACCCCTTGCTTTAGCCATGCAAGCCCCAATCTCCCGTCCAGCCAACCATAATTAAATGCTCAGTACCTTTGTTAAATGACCATTCAATAAAAGTCCGGTTGAAACCTTAACAAAACAGTAAAATCACCAGGGTTGAAGCCTTTGAGGTTGAGTGTCAAAGGTGAGCCGGAGTTGAGTTGTAAACCGACGGATCGGCAACCGAGCTGTTATCGGTGATAACAGAAGGTGATCCTCAGGGGATTGGGCTGAATCTAGTCCAAGTCCTGAATCAGATCGATCAAGCTGGCCTGTAACACAAGACAGGTCAATGCCCAAGACTAACCCTATGAGTCTTATGGGGAATAGTCTCTATATCGTGGTCTCACCCAAGCTCCTGGTAGCCAACCAGATCTGAGTCTACTTCTAGTCAGTGCCCAAGGAAAGGGTAGACCTTTGGCTAGATCCCTTCCATACAATGTGGATTGCTAAGTCCGCAACGTGCCAGAACATAATCTAACTCCTCTAAATTAGGAAAATTTCGGCAGCGCTTCCGGTAGGAAAAGTGCCTTTCCAGGATTTATACCAGCCCAGATACGAAAACCAAAGTAATCTTTTGACTTCCCAAGTTCAAACTTTGTCTAACTCCCTGGATTAGCAAAAATTTGGGCAGCACTCCCTTTAAAAAAAAGGACTTCTCAGATTTCTACTAAGCCATATATGAAATCCAGATAAGTCGAACTTTTGGAAAGTCAAAATTTGACTAACTCCTTGGATTTGCAAAAATTTCGGCAGCGCTTCCCATAGGAAAAGTGGCTTACCAAGATTTATACAAGCCCAAGTATAATAAATGATCTCAGAAAATGCAAAAATTAATCTAAGTAAAAACTATCATAGAAAATGCAGGAATTGAATCTAACTCTTATCGCTCTAGCACCTGGGGAACCACTAACGCGACTATCTATCAACCTGAACTTAGACTAGGTAGTAGTCTCACTCAGCCAAATGCAAGCCAAACCACAAAGGTAAGTACTCTCACCAGCCCAAATTATCTTTAGCGAACAATAGTTCATAGTCTTTCAATGATTTAACCCTTTACACCCTGCTTACATAGAGCATTGAGACCGGTCATTAGTCTAAGAAACAATGCCAACTCTCTGCCTTAGTTATGCACGAACAGGTTGCACAACTACTTTTCTCTTCATTGGGCATATGACTAAGCCATTCGTCTTAGAAACAATGCTTAGTCGCCCTGAACTGTTTAAATAGCCAAGTTATATATACCTTTCTCAACTTCGTCTTCGCAGATGGGCGTAGGGCTGAGCCATTCGTCTTAGATACAATGCTCAGCCTGCCCAGGATACCTTTAGTTATAACTCTTAATTATACTCTCTTAGTTTGTGATAAGGCTATAGTCAGACCATTCGTCTTAGAAACAATGTCTGGCTAGCCTTGTTCTCACATACATATATATAGAATTTATAGAGAATCCTATTCCTTTGTTCTCATTATAGTCCTGAGGCCTCAGATTTAGACCATTCGTCTTAGAAACAATGCCTAGTCTTTCGGTCTGAAACCCCTCATGAGTTGAGTCATTCGTCTTAGAAACAATGTTCAACCCCCCCTTTTCTCAGCACTAAAAACAGGAGAGTCCTCTGGGCCAAGACCCAGAGACTATTTAGAAACCACCCAAAGTAAACAGCGACCAGACCATTCGTCTTAGAAACAATGTCTGGTCCTCAAAGGTCAAGCAATCAATGTCCTTCAAAAAATAAAGTAGCCAGGCCATTCATCTAAGAAACAATGCCTGGCACAATTAAATAAACACAGCGACCAGGCCATTCGTCTTAGAAACAATGCTTGGCCCTTCAGAAAACATAACAAAACACAGCAGTCAGACCATTCATCTTAGAAACAATGCCTGACCCTATAAGACCCGTTCAATCGCAAGCAATATTGCCTTCCTCCCAACCTTCCCCCTGATGCAACCCCTTACGACAATCTGCTTTCAGACAAGCAAAGAAGCTAAAACTGCAATTATACATACATTCCTTTAGTTGACCTGATTTGTGTCCTAAAAGTCAACCCAAAGTCAAAGTATGGCGGCATGCAATACAACCAACCAATACACAGGGAGGCGCATAGATAGGGGTTATACTGGGTTTATAAGGGAAAGCAATGGTTACCTCTGAGTTCTCTGCCTCCAGAACTCCTCCAGAGTTCCGGCAGAGCTCCCGCAATCGGTGGGGCGAACCTCCCACAGAGGCCTTGGCGCGGATTATGGGTTGCAATCGCGCCTGCTGCCTTCCGCTCAGAACCAATAGACCAGACTTAGAGTAAGAAGGGCAAATGAAGATAGTTTTGAGACTCTCAGATACAAGAGGGGTGCACTCAGACTCGCGTGAGAGGGCCTTCAAATCTTCAGCGCCTGAGGGTCCCGCAATGGCGACCAATGTATCAATTTGGTCAACTGGAGTCAACTGTGGAACTTGATCGTCGAATTCAACCCCCTGACGATCTTCCAAATCGCAACATTAACCCCCACTCGTCCTGTCTGGCCACCTCCTTAAGCCTCGACCTCTCCGAGTCACACCACCTCTCTTCAACCCGATTGCGGCCACCCAACAGCCTGTAACAGTATGCAGCTGTCGCCTATGCCCAGTCAGCAGCAGCAATCGCCGTCACCAAGACTAGCATCTAATGGTGGCCAATAGTAACTGCAGCAATATACCGCAACGGGGGCCAACAGCTATGGCAACAGTCCACAACAGCCACAGGTCGTTATACAACGGTAATACACAGTGGCCGGCAGCAGTGGTTGTATTGAGCAGCGGTCACTAGCGGCAACAGCAGTCAACCAGTTGGCAGAAGTCTGCGCAATCAAAACCAGCAGGAGTGTCCAGTCCACGACGGCAGTCGCAGATCGCAGCGGCCAATCAAGCGCAGTAGCAGTCTGTACTTAACCAAAAGACAGTTGTTCTTGCCCTGCCACTGACCACAGCAGCAGTACAACCCTCAGTAGTAGCATACAGCAGTGGTCTATGGCAATAGTAACAATCCGCGTCGGGTTGTAGCCAACGATCTACAGAGCCGAAATGCCAGTAAAAGCCCTTCCGACAGCCCCGTCAATCAGGCAGATCTGCACGCTCTCCACGTTTGTCCGCAAGGAGGGCTCCAACCAGTCTGCGACAGGTAAGTTTCTTACTCCTTGCCTGGCCATACGCTACTAGCCTACTTTCACGGATCGTATCAGCAACGCGCCTGCCAATAGGTGATCTTCAGCTCGCGGCTGTGCTCAAGCTGTCTCCCTCGTTCGAGTTGTGTCCGACCAACTGTGTGAACGCCAGTGGGTCTCCCCTTCAGTTGCGGAAGCATACGCAGCCATTCGTGCAGGCTGCACGACGCCAACCGCGCCTATCTGACCAACCTCTCTCCTTATCTCCACGGATCGCAGCCTCTGCACTCCGCTGCCCGTAGTCTGCCGTCCAGCATCAAGCTCCAACTTGGGGATTC